CGAAACAAAGGCTAAGACAAAGGCAAAAATAAGACAAAAGAAACTAGTAAAAATAAATGTAACTAGAGTATGATAGACAGACAATGAATAAAAAAAAGGGAAAAAAACAAGAAACGACGATTGTACAACAAGTTGATGATTTTAAAAACATAGATTTGGCAATAAAGAAAAAAAAACGATAAAAGGAGGGAAACAATGTGAAAGAGGAGTTGAGACACAAAATAGAATAACAAGCTCGTTTGTAAACACAAGATCCATCCAATCTATACAGCAATACCAAAACCCCCGCCTTCTCTCCTTCGTTAACACACACTCCCCCTCAGCCAATAGTCGACAAGAGTGGCTTTCAAGAACCAATCAACGGCCTGGAATCCATGGGTGTTACAGCCGCCTCCCCTTCTGAACCTCGTCTCTCATACGACAAACTTAATCCAGAGAACGCAGTGACGTATTCGAAGAGTCAAGTGCAAGTTGTAGATGTCTTACTCTGATAGTGGTTTATAGAGGAGTTTTGGGATTGTGTTAACTTTGTCCCCTTATTATTGCGTTTTATGGTATTGCTCACTTTAAAATATTGTGAGTTGCATTGTTTTCTTTTCTTTCTTTTGGTAATGAAATACGCGAGCATATTTTGAATAGCAGAATACTAATGCATTAAAACGAACGAACCCTTAGAAAAGTTTTTCTTTAGATCTCCCAGACACGCCTCACAACCCTTTTATATTGCTCCACTTTGTCGTACTCATCGATGTAGTAAATATTGCTTCGACTATAATGATCCTAGCAACATCATCAGTAACTATTTTTCCAAAGCATTTATCTCGTATTTCGTGGTTATGTTCCAGCAGCAATTTTGTGAAACTAATCCATCGTACTCCACAGTTTTCCAATACTGCAAACAATAAATATTGGTGAAAAATGGCAAAAGACGGTGGAGTGACTCGCTTTACAGTGACGGCGATCCTAATCGTTCTACTATATTCCGGAACAGGTAGTAAATTATTTACGAAAGTGTCAGACTGCCACTTTGGCACACTCACACACCTATGTTATCGAATTGCAAATTATTTTTTACTTTTTCAAGAACCGGGAAAAGCTGTTTCGTTTTCTTGCTTTATCAGAGACAGTTGATTTTTATTTTTAACTATTGATATGACAGGAACATTCACATGTGAAAGTTAGGAACTCAGATGAAGAAAATCATGTTTTTCTAGCCGAATGTGTCTTAGGCTTTGCACGTGTTTTTTTTTTTTTTTTTCTTTTTTTAGTACCGCAACACTGAGCTACGATCTCTTTTTCTTTTTTGAGTTTGAGTTTTTGATGATTAACTGTTGACGTGGGAAATATATTGGTATTAACCAGGCTCTTTAGACTAAGTATAGGAAGAAACTGTATTTCCATAAATATAAATTCGCGATGTGACATGCATTTAGAAAATTCACACCTCACTATCATAAGTTCCTTACTCTACATATATTATATATATATATATATATATATATATATATATATATATATATATATTTATAGATAGATACTTTTCCTTCGTCCGTTTCCTTCCTCTTCTATCAAACATTTCGTACCTTCCCTTCATTTTATTCTATTTAACCTTTTGTGCCCTCTTTCTTTCCTCTTTTTCGTTGCCCTTCTCTTCTATGTATTTCTCTTTCTTCCTTCCCCTTTTTATGTCTTTCACCCTTTTCACTTCTCTTTATTTCTTACCCTTTCCTTTCCTAACCTTGTACCTTTCTTTCCCCATCTTTCCTCTGCTCAACTTCTCCTTCCTTCCTTCTCCCTCCCATACACCCTTTCGTCCCTCTTCCTCCACCTTCCATTCCACCTTTCACGGTCACTCCACTAACAACCACAACAGGCATCAGCATGAGAGTCTTCAGGTTCCAGCCAACGGGGTCTCCGAGCGCCTCTTCCGCCGCCATTTTGAATCAGAACTTGACGTCTCTCAACGCCTTCACTATTTGCTACAGACTCCGCCTCTTCTACTTCCGGAGAGAATCTGTGGTTTTGTCGTACGCTATCAGTGACGAAGATAATAATGTCATCAGATTAGGTGAGATTTTGTATATACATACACATACTTAATAATGTCATCAGATTAGGTGAGATTTTGCATATACATACACATACTTGTGTAGGTGTGTGTGTGTGTGTTCTCCAATATGCTTATTTCTTGGGAGTTGAGGCTAGCTACTACTTCTGCACTTTCATTTATGTAAATAAATATAGATATTGTTATGATGATAGTTGTAACAACGAAAGCAAGACAATGATTAAAATGCTGACAGTGGTAAGGAAGATGAGAATGATATTGGGAACTAAAAGAAATCAATATCGTAAACATTATTAATAACACAGGTTATGATAATGGCAGCAAAATAAGAACAACGACCATCATGTAAATATAAAGAGAAGAATGAAATGCTCAAGTATACCGAACGCATTTTCGTTATATATTATATATATATATATATATATATATATATATATATATATATTATATATATATATATATATATATATATATGTCTGTGTGTGTGTGTGTGTGTGTGTGTGTGTGTGTATATATATATATATATATATATATATATATATATATATATATATATATATATTATATATGTGTTGTGTGTGTGTGTGTGTGTGTGTGTATAGATAGATAAAAAATAATAACGGCAACAATAATAGAGCAAACACAGAAACAATGAAAAGAATTCTCTGACCAGACCACACCACCCGAGGCTTCCGAATGCAGTTAGTCGGAGCCCTGAACACTTCGGGGCAGAACATCCCCCTGTGGCACTGGTGCCATTACTGCCTCGCGGCCAATCTCTCTTCGGGAGACTGGGCCATGGCCATTCAGGGCGAAATCACCATCAGGTAAGATTTTTTTTCTTTCTTTGTATTTTATTAGGTTTTATATTGTGTAATTTGATTTATTTGTTTGATTTCCCTGGATTATTGGTGTCTTAAACCACTGTGGTTGACATTCACGCATTTCTGCCAGGGATCAAGGCGATATAAGGCTGATCAACAAGAGTATAGAAGGCGATGGAGTCCTCATTTTGGGGCAAGACCAGGACGTGCTCGGAGGAGGCTTTCAGGTGCAGTTGGAAATCCTGTTTGTTTACGTTTTGAACCGTATCCATGTTGACAAATGTAGAAAGGGGATATCCAGTCTCATTCATACCTTGTTACATTGTTAACGTGTTATTGGTATGATCTGGTTCGTTTGTTGGATATTGTTGTGGATGATTTTTTTCTTTGGTTGCCTGCCAAGTGAATGTCTAATATCTGTAGCTCTTTGAGTTGTATTTATCTCGGTTTGTATTGTCTTTTTGGTGATTTTCTTACTATTGTTATTGTTAATATTTCTTGGTATTATCGTCGTTACCCTCATCCTTGTTGTTGATTTTTTTGGCATACTTTATCACCACCGTAATTATAATCATTCTAATCCTCATCAACACCACCGTCATTGTCATTATGATATAAACGGTATATACACTTTTTCTTTTCTTTTCAGGAGGACCAGTCTTTATCAGGAGAGATAACAGAATTGCACATTTGGGATTATGCACTGGACGACGTCACAATAAATGATATTGCTAATTTCCAGTCCAACTTACATGGTCAGTCTCTCGTTAGAAGGTGACTTTAACTTGACTTTTCTTCTGCAATGAATTCATGATTCATTAATGCTCTTAATTTCTGGTTATGGGATGGAGTTCTTCAGTTTGAAGACTTGGACTTCACACACTTTTGCCTCTCTCTCTCTTTCTCTTACTCTCTCTCTCTCTCTCTCTCTCTCTCTCTCTCTCTCTCTCTCTCTCTCTCTCTCTCTCTCTCTCTCTCTCTCTCTCTCTCTCTCTCTCTCTCACACACACACACCACACACACACACACACACACAAACAAGCAAATCAATAACCGAACAGAATACCCCGCAGGCAATGTAATCAACTGGCTAACCTCGTCGTGGGAGCTGCGCGGGGAAGCCGACATCCGGGACCTGCCGCGCGACATGGTCACTCAAACGCCAATAACCCACATCATGATGGCCGACCCGAAGCCCTTTGCCGAAGCTGCTCATCTCTGTAGCCTCCTGAAGGTTCGGTGATTGCTTCTCCTTCCATTTACAGCTTGTACAGCTCTTGTCTTATTTTCATGTCGTTTTGTGTTGTTATGGTTTTGTTTTGTTTAGATTGAAAAGAAAACGCAAAGCAGTAATACCACTACATGATAACGTGAAAATTATCACTTATTATTATTTTATCAAGATACGAGAATATAATGTATGATCGTATTATGATGAATATTCTTTCCCCAGGGAAAAATGTCAGCTCCAACATCGGAGAGAGAAAACGAACTATTACACAATCACACAATGTCCTATTACCCACTCTGCAAAAACAACTTAGGCCACATCTATCTGTGGGTCGGTTACTCCGATGTCAGAGAGGAAGGTTAGTAATCCAAAGATTGAAATGGGGTTGAAATATGAAGAGACGATTGAGAAAATACTGGAAGTTTTTGTTTGAGGGATAGTGAATGACTTACGTACTGACGACGAAATTTCTTAAATTTCTTCAACCTTTTCAGAGGCCTACACAAATAAAGCATAAGGCTAATAAGACATTTTATATGAATAGCATCTAATCCACTAGCGCTTAATTTTTCACAGTCACGAGAATCATATATAAATTCCAAATCTATTATAATGCCAATTGAAATATTTACAGGTGTTTGGGAAGACAGTGGTACCGGCCAGAAGATAGGTTACCAAGGGAGTTGGAACACCTACGAGCCTAATGGATATCGTGAAGAGAACTGCGTCTCCATGTTTTACTCTCCTGGACGATGGGTCGATGTCACATGCTTGTAGGAAAACATTGGGGTTTCTTTTTTTCTTTCTTTTGATGTTTATTTTGTGTGCGTGTATTTTTAGGGAAATGATTTTTAACTTCTGAAGGTATCGTGGTGCCATGTCTCTTTGGAATAAGTTCCCATTATAAGAGGTGGGTATACGACTAGAAATCTTTGTTGCTTTTAAAATCTCGCTTTCTCCCACGTACTTATAAACTTCATGCAATTATCGGTCCACCAGTGTCATTTTCTTTGGGACACTGTTGTTAATCATTCTCCTTTTCCAACAGCCGAACCCTGTGCTGGTCTTGCCAGTTCACGAAGCTCACGGAGGTGAAAGTTTTAGGGTTATGTAAAAACTCGGTTCTCGATTTGCACTATGTCTTAGCAGGGGACAAAAATGGATACCCACACTTCACTGGTTCCCGTAGATCCCACATATTCTGGAGCCCCGAAAACCAGACGTACGTGATGCAGTCCCTGTGGAACAACCAATCTTACGGCGTCATGAAGGTTGGTCAAGCTAAAGGTATTCAAAAGCTTAATGTCACGAGAGCGAAAAGGGAATTTTTCTACATTCCATTTACGATTCATAAACAGATATCAATTTAGTTGTAGTGTCTAAAAAAAAGAAAAGGAAAAAAAAAAAAAAAACTTTATCTGCCCAACAGAACAGGTGCGCTACTCATCACAGGGATTCAGACATATACTTTAATACCTACACTTACACCGCTATTAATCTTACATATACCAGGGTTGAATATAATACAAAATCACAACTTCTAAAACTACGTGCCCTACTGACCCCACCAGAAAAGAGGCGGAGGAACACCACTGCCAATAGGGACACACACCTGGTCCTTCAGTTCGGCTCTCTGCTCTGGTCGTCCGTCGTCTCTGAGGCTGACCTTGTCGGCCTGTAGCTCCGGTTACTTCACGTGCGGAGACGGTTCGTGTGTGGCTTTTAATGAGCGGTGTGACAGGCGCACAAACTGCAAAGATTATTCCGATGAAGAGGATTGCAGTGTCTTGGTGAGAAGGATCGTCATTGTCACTGTTTATTATGACTTTCGTTGTTATTGGGATTTATTCATTTTAATTTATTATGTTTTACAGAGAGTGGTCAAAATTTTAGGGACTTCTTAAAGCAAGTAGAGTTCAGCTTTCGTAATATCATTTTTGTGTTGGAAGTAAGTGATTGTGCTTCATGTGTATGTATTTTAACAATGTCGGATCGTTGGCTATCCTATGCTTTTGTGTAAGGAAAGGAAATTGAACAATTCAGCCCTTGATATCCGTATGTTTCCACCAAAAGCATTTTCTTCTATTTTATTTTATTTTTTCTCAACGCAAAGTTTACAAACCAAATGAAGCTTTGTGTTTCGTTCTTCACAGCAAATTACGGACGGCTACCGACCAGAGATTCCACCTCCATCCATTGACAATGCAACGGCCTTAAACGTCCTGGTTCGAGTTTACGTCGTTACCTTGACGTCTATCAACACTGTCAATATGGAATTCACGGCTGATTTTATTTTGCAGGTATAGATAACGTTGAAAATGTGTATTGTAATGACTGTACTGAGCACTACTTGTTCGATAGATATAGGTCTAAATGCTTAATTTGCGTCAAAAAGCTCGTGCTTACAGTTGCCGATTTGCATTATTTTAACAGGTAAATCTTAAACAACTATTCAAATATCCAAAATAACTAGTAGACCTTTTAAAGTTGCTATTTATTTTAGTCTGATATAGAATATACAAGGTTTCCTCTCTCTTCTAGATGAGGTGGTACGACGCGCGCCTCTTCTTCGAGAACCTCAAAGACGAAACAGATCTAAATGCTCTAACACAAATGGAAAAGAAATCTATTTGGGTTCCCACACTAAGTTTCAAAAGCGCTCGAGGCAACAGACGAAGCTTGCTCGACGAAGAGACCAAAGTGTACGTTCTGAAAAGGGGGCAGCCAATACCAGCGGATATGACATTTGTACATGAGAGTATGTGTTAATTGTTTACATTGGTGTTATGCTTATTGTTTGGACGGTGAAGACTCTGCGACTGGGGGGGGGGGGGAGATTAGATGATGATGATTATAATTTATTCATTTATTTTAATTCTAGGTTGTTTATTCAAGTCTCATGTGTTTTTCACTAAGCGTTATATGTCCTTTATTCACTCATAGCTGTGTAATTTCTCCGTTGCGTGTATTTCTAATGTCAGTGTTATTTACATCATAGCATATGACATTAATGGTATTTACATGTTACTAAAATTTTCATTAATGTATTCGATTTTTTTAACCGAATAGTCGACTGTCACTATAAAGAAAAAAAAATAATTTTTTCAGTTCTTCCTTGCCTTCATCGCATTAATCCGGACTCTTTTCTGTTAACGAAATAACAATGGCTATCATGTTTTCCATCAGTTGAAGTGTACAACGGACGCACTGCCCAGCTCTTGCTCGAGAGAAAGTATCACGTCTTATATGGCTGCACATTCGAACTTCAGATGTATCCATTCGACACTCAGGTAATATTTGTAATAGAGAAATAATGATGATGATGATAATTATGATAATGATGATGGTGTTGGTGATGAGGATGATACTCAACAAATATTCATGGTGAGGCATTAAAATGTCTATCCTTTAAATATTTGCACTCCCTTTTTATGTTTCAAAAACAGATCTGCACAATGAGCTTCCAAACTCAATCTGCCACGAAAATGTACGTAAAACTTGTGGCAGACTACGTCACGTTTCTTGGCAGAAGGCAGCTGGTTGAATATGTGGTCGGCGATGTTACGATGGTTGATGTGAACGATAACTCGAGCTACAGCAGTTTGAAGGTGAGGTGAAGTTATTAGTTTTTACATTCCTATTTTTTTAAGGAAACATTTTCGTTTTTTTCTTCATTGCTAAATATCTTTAGTGATTACATATTTGCGCGTTAGTAAATGATCCAAGACAAACTATACACCAATGGACTAAAAATATATTCCCCTACGATTTTAGAACATGTATCTCGCTTGATCATTTTCTTGGTAATAGTATTTTTTTAAATATCAAATAGACTTCTCTACGACTAGTAATGAATTTGCTATATCGCTTTGAAATGTAGAGTGGTTCGATTGTCCCTAAGAACAAGGACGTAAAGTATTTCAAAGTGTCTTTCTTCACACTATCGGTAAAATGTAATGAACTAACCTTGGTAGTTAAAATGACCTCATAATAGTGAAATTTCTGTTTCCGCTTGGTATTCCATGTCTGTTCATTTCCTATTGCCTCTACAGCTTGACATGGTGCTAATCAGGCAGAGTGGATATCACTTGGTTACGACTTATTTGCCAACTTCAATAATGATCGTCATAGCATATATTACCTTCTACTTCAAGGTCCACGATTTCAATGTAAGTTCAATGTAAACAAAAGTACCATGTTTCCTTGCATATAAACATAGATCAAAAGCTGCAATAAAAATAAATACAAGTTTGTTCTCAAAATCAATTCCCCTTTTGTCTCATCATGCGCGACCGTTTTAGTTTCAATTCCATCCACGTCTTATTTCAATATAATTTTCTTCAACAGGACCGCGTGATGGTCTCCCTCACGTCCCTCTTGGTGCTATCCTCTCTCCTTACACAGACTTCAGAAACTCTACCCAAGACGTCCTACTTCAAGATGGTCGACATCTGGCTCTTCTTCTGCATAGTCATAATCTTCATGGTCATTCTTATCCATACCGCATCCATCTGTGTACAAGATGACGACGAGATGTGCGCTATGGATGATCAGACTCATGGAAACGATGGGTCTAATGATCGATTTGGTGGACAGGTTAGAGCTGGAAATGGTTTGAAAAAGCTACATATTAGGTGCAAACGAAGAGTGAGGGTCACTCCATCTTTCATTCTGACCTTTGGGAAAATTAGTATTCCTTTTGTTGTAGGAATCTTTAATATCATTTACTGGTCTCTTGCTCTCACCAAGTAAGTGTGAGTGATCAGGGGAATAGCTTTCTTTTAATGCAAAAGAAAGTTAACAAATTATTATGGTTGTAAGTATTCCATTATTTTTTTGAGCAGTCATAATTCCAAGTATCATGGAATCTTAAAACTGCTGTGGCATATCTGTGGAATAACACAGCCGAGTTTCACAATACTTCCACCAAACTAAATATGTAGTTTTCATCAAGTTATTTAAATCTGAAAGCTACGGTATATCAATAAAAGATATTTATCCATCCTTTCATTTTTGTCAATATATCAGCTGCTACTGAATTTACAATACAAGTATCCAATGTCAAGTGAAAGGTTTTAATGTTTTCGTGTAGTAAATTACCATAGTACTTATTAGATTTTAGTTTGTCTACCTATTAATAATAGTTCTGTGACATTTGTTTCGTGAGATGGAACCATGATGGGTAATTTCACTACCATCAGCATTGTGAAAAGAGCCCACATCATATATGGAGTATTAGTATGCAGACTCAATGTTAGTAAAGCCACTCTGGCTTAGAAAATTTGCCCAAATTTTCTTCTCGTTTCTTTTTACTTTTTCCATTCAGATGAATAAAGGTATTTCTTAGCTAGTGATAAATATTACATACTTGTAGTGTACTACAAATTACCATATGATTTAGTGTTTTACACATTATGGATTAAATAAACAGCAGTGAAACTTACCTAACATTTATTTTCTTGAAAATAAAAAGAAGAAAAAATAATGGTTACAACAATACATATTTTGAAAGCTGCATTCACATATTAATGTGTTTTGTTTACATGGTCGTTTCACAGAGCAGTGATGATACTTATGTGAAAATAAGTACAGCAAAGTGAAATGAGAAAAAAAGAAAAGGTGCATATATTCAAGAGATTCAATATAACCGCACACTCTAAGTGCACAATCGGAATGAATAAAATTAGAAAAGGTTAACAAAAAATTATAACTTTAAAAACAGAAGAGAAGATACGCAACTCTGCATCTGGCATTTGCTAAAGCTAATTAGAATCTACGTTCGCTGCGCGTAATAGATGAGTCGGAAGCTTACGAGCGTATGGCTTCACTCTGCTGCCTTATTTTCAGATCTAAACTACATATAAGTGGAAAATAACCTTTGATTCTACACAATGCTTGAGATTCCTTATCAGCGCCGAGTGGTAAGATGCACTTAAGGGATTTTTTCTTTTTCTTTGAAGTTGCTGCGAATTCATTCAGTTGTTCAGTTTGTCTAGAACAGTTTACAGTTATAGACATAAGCTTAATGAACTAGCTGTTATAGCTGCTATGTGTTATGACACTGGCCCAACTCTGATAAGGAATTCAAGTCTAATTTCTGTATTTCGTGGACTGTGAAAAGGTGCTTGTCTGCCTCAATCTTTCACTCTGGGTCGGGAGGATAGGTTACCTTCACGGTGATGCATTGGAGATGAGCATTAATTAGAATAGAGGATGAAAGCTGAAGGATATAAAAGAGAGAAAAAAGGCATTCTGTACATTTTTCCTTAGGGGAGGGGGTGTCTCTCTTAGATTTATTCTGTAATAACTACATACTCAAGAAGGAGACATTATAGGTTGAAGGAGTATCACAACTACGACTCATACACTGTACACCGAGTCCACCACAGAATAAGTGAGAGAGGGAGAGCAGCACCATACACAACCCACGTCACACTATGTTTGGCTCGAAAAATCGCAATGACGACCAACTTCCACCAGCATTGTCAAAGAAATGCAATTAAATTGGAAAGCTCCAAGGGATTCAGAGGAAGATACCAATTTGAGCCTCTGGGTCCCAGTATTAGTCAGCCGGAATTCAACATAGCACAACAGGAAGCCTAATATAGGCTCAATGTAAAATACGTCCCCACGTGGAATTCCGGTGGAAAAATGGGCACATCGCAATCCTCAAGCACTAACACTATGTTTTCATTGCATAATATACATCTTGACCATTAGGAATAAAGCTGTTCAACCAACCAACTTCTCTGAACATATTAGTACAAGAACAAAATATTAAAATATAGAATGGAATAATAAAAAAGAAAAAAATATACAAAACAATAATAGTAAGCTAATGCAATCCAAGAGAGGGGGAAGGGGAATGAGAAGAGTTCCAAACGAAATGATGATAACTCAAGACAACGTCTTGACAGGATCATTTCTTTGTCTGCCAGCATTTCTGTTAATTAAGAAGCAGGGACTGTGTCAGCCGTGTGGAATGGTGGCAGGCACTTGACGAACGACGGCGACGGCCCTTCTTCTCCCTCACACCCTCCCCTCCCATTTCCCTCCCCCCTTCATTGAAAACTGAACAAAGGCACCCACCTCTCGCCCGCCTCTCTGAGGGCTGGCGCTTTCTCGGACAAAGCCCTGAGAGTGACGATTTACTTTTGTTTCATCTTTTCTTTAGACAAGCGTATGCCTAGCGATCACAACGCGATGGTTTATTCACAAAATATTAGGGGGACTTATTCTATAATAATTTCTCTTTTTATTTTTTTTTTATGTTTTTGTTTGTTTTATTTAAAGGGGGAGATGTTTACATTTTAAGCAATGAGGTGATGTCAAGTAATGATTAATCCACTCCCAAATTACAGTTAATTTAATAACTTATCATTATAATTATCATTAATATTTTTTCTCTACCTCTGCATTTCTTCCTTGAAGAAACATATAAAGTGACAAAATAAGTTCATAAAAAATAGAGGGTGAAAAAAATTAAATATACATTTGATAAAAGAGTGGTCTCTCACTAAGCTTTATTCTGATGTGTGAACAGTTTTGTTCTTGATACTGTTAATCATCATCAGAGAAATATAGAAAAATGATTAGAATTACTTAAAATCCGACTTCAAAGTAGCATGTTCCCATCATCGTCAATACACTGTACTGGTCCTTTTAATAGATATGTTGTACTCTGGTGTGGGAAGCCTCTCCTATCTCTGATTGCTTTTGCTGGAGCTGGAATTTTCACCGACATTAACACTTCCTCTCAAGCTTGACTTTCCCTACCAATGAAGCTGCTCTTGACATGATAATCACTTTGCTCTTAGAGAGACCAACCTAAACTAGATAGAACTTTTAGTGAAAAATAAAAATCTTGCATTGCATTCCTATCTATATATATATATATATATATATATATATATATATATATATATATATATATATATATATATATATATATATATATATATATATATATATATATATATATAATATATATATATATATATATATATATATATATATATATATATATATATATATATATATATATATATATATATATATATATATATATATATATATATATATATATATATATATATATATATATATATATATATATATATATATATTCACTTATATTTCTTTTCATGTCTTGAGAAACAGAATGATTCACTGTGTGACACTTTTTATGCACACAACCATTTTACATACAAAAAAAGAGAAAAAGAAAAAGAAAAGAAAAGAAAAGAAAAATATATATAAATATATATATATATATATTATATATATTATATATATATATATATATAATATATATATCAAATTTTTCAGTACATACCATTTAGCTCTAACCCAAAAATAAAAGGTAATAATAACAGGCGAGGCACTTCCGAAAGACCCTATTCTGAGTGTCATTCACCACAGACCTCTTGTAGAGACAAACCACACAAAATCATAAACACTTTCTCAGCTTTGCACCACAAGAGTATGCAAGCCAGCTGAGAGAAAAAGAAAAGCAGATCTGAAGCTTTTGTTTGAAGTTTGTTTTCTTTACCTTTGCATTTCTTTCTTTTTTTTTTGTCTCTACGCATCTGATGAACTGCAAAGAAGGTGCATTTTCTTTTCACTTTAACCAGAATATCAAGGTTTGCTATACTCTACTTTGCACACCTTTTTTCTCGCTGTATTCAGGGGCTGCTGCTACTGTGGTTTGCTTGCTTGCTTACAATCCATGAATCATAATTTCTAGACCAAAGAAAACTGGGGAGCAAGGGAGATATAAAAATCTAAGTTTAAAAGATCATCTGAAGACAGCATTTTTTAAATCTTTTCTCTTATTAAAAGTTAAAAAATGCAAGTGTTCTCTATTTATTTACTTTTTTATCTTTCTTGCTTTTATGCCAGGCAAAAATACCTGACAAAATTACTGGGTTAGAAGCATTGGGATATGCCACAATGTATCGATCTACTACTCACTTCCCTGCTAAACACAGCTTACACATTGGTAAGTTTGCAAGCACATTTTTGTCAAAACTAAATGTTAACGTCAGAAAAACTATAGACTCTAAGAAAGGGGGCTGCCTATCGCTTATATTTTTCATCATTTTTTATTTTTATAGGCCCACGTTGCTGCCAAAGAAGCATAACGACCCGGACTGCCGAGCAGTGGCCTAGCATGCGGGACTCAAATCTTAAAGGGGGGGAAAATGTTTCAAAAGCCGATGTGGTGGATATCTCGGTAAAGCTGCCATGTAAAAGGGATTCAACACTGGGTCTCCGATGTCTCAATGGGAGAATCTGAAAGAAAATCAATACAATGAATATTAGAACAATAAACCAATAAATATTTCTGAAATTTACAATCAAAATCTTTCAAAATGCAGAGAAAAAAAATGGAAGTAATATCAGAAGGCAGGTTATTTAATAATTCAACAAAAAGGAGGAAGGATGAAGAAAGATAAGCAAAAGAGAATGAAGATGAGGAGAAGAAAGGAAGAGGAAATTATCAACAGCAAAAATTAGAAAAAGTAGCACAAAAAAACATGTGCAAGAACATCTACATATTTGCATATACTTACTCAACTTTTACTCCGTGGACTGCTGCTGGATCTCGATCTTCTCAACTGTCATGTCTGGGTTCATCCTGGTGGCTTCCTGGATGGCCTCAGCCAGAGCGCGGTCATGGTCAATTGGGTCACCATCGCTCTGGATTGTGATCTTCTGCTCCACTCTGGTCTCCACTACCCCATCCTTCTCAGTTTTGTACTGTGGAAAATGTGGCTAGAGATTAGCTATTCTTTTTCTATATATTTAGGCTTTTATTTATGATAGAGCCTATATTGAGTAAATTTTGTGTTTACTGGATAATTTTTTTTTTTCTTTTTTAAATAAAAGCTTAAATTTTATTGCTTAGAGAACTCTTTCACAAAGATTACCTAAATAAACATACATGTTGCATCTCCAATCTTTTAAGAGACCATCACATAATACACTACAAACATGTACAATTCCATATCAGCCGAAATCAAAAAAATAATGAATCCATTTCCCAGTGCAGGAACTTTAGTCAGCAATTAACAGAACCCAGTGATCATATCATATAGATGGTGGAGAAAGGGTGCAAGAACAAGTGATGCCTACAAAATCAATTCAGTGTCTCCAAAACAATTTTATGCAATCAGTGGTCTTAGCCCAAAACCAATGTGGGGGATGTTTGGAATTCAGTCAATAAATATAATTCAGTGCACGAGATTCTAAAACCTGAAACCTTTGGGGAAAGAATGAAAGAAGTGTCAATTTCTTGAGAAATCAGAAAAGGGTGCACTGTACATGAAAAAGCTAAAATCATAAGATATCATATCAAATCATTCCACACTAAATATGCATATAAGGCAAAAACTTAACATCTACCACCACCAGGGTCCTTCCCCGTAAAGGAGTGATGAATTCCGAAACACCACATGTTCCACATATCCCCAAGTCTTGTGAATGAACCAAATTAAAATTATTTAATATATACTTGAAATGGCCTGTGGTTTTTCAGATTTCATCTCCATACAAAGTCAGTCACCAGCCCAAAATACAAGAAGCAAAATGAGAAGGGAAATAACTTCACTTGCAGGGAAGCTACAAATGTAAAGGAAACTACCAACTATGCACATAATGTACATTGCTTGGGAAGCAGTTCGGTAACTATTTTCATACGGAGTCGTGGAGGGAACATTCCTTGGCACACTCTTCGGAAGGGGTTTCAAACACTGGTCTTCTGTACTTTTCTTTGTATACTCAGTGCTTGAGAATTCACTCCTGCCTTTGCAACTGGTAGATAAAAAACTACATGCAGAATTTAACTTTGGTTCAAAATGTACATTTCTTGACTCTTCTCTTTGGGTGCTTAAGATGTTTGTCTCACTTTTTGTTGAAGACATATCAGAGACAAGTTTCACTTGGGTAGAATGAGGTGGATCTCGAAAATTGAGAGATAAAACATTATCAAAAGAGGAAGCATGATCAGAATGTACTTCACTGCTAATCCGTGGAGTCACCTGCCTAAGGGACATGGTTTTAATTTGGGGCAAATTGTGCGGGAAATCATTAAAGCAGATACTGCTTTCCTCTGCTGCAGATTCTTTCTCCTGTCCTCTGTGACTGGAAATGAGATCTAAATCTGGGGAATGTATAACCACATCACTGACATTACTATGCTGCTGAGAAGCATTACATGAGCTTGGGAGTATGTCAGAGGAAATACTACATAAATTGGGAAATGAGACTGGAGATGAATAAACAATAGGAGCCAACTTTTGTGGAGTCACCATGGAAAGAGCTGAACTATGAACTGAACATGAGACTGATGTGAAACTGTGTGGTGATACAATGTCTGTGTTATGATACAAATGTACAGTGTTGTTAGATTTTGTGTATGGTGGTATTGCCAAAGGCACATCAGGTAAAGATGATGATGATCTAATTGTGGAGTCAGAAGTGACAAATGTTGATACACAGGGAAACTGACCTGGCCATGTGTAAACAGCAGTGGTCTGTTTATTGAAAGCACTTCTGTAACCTTTAATAGTTTTTTTCTGAGAAACATATGCATAAGGAGCATTTGAAAAACTGGAAAGAGAAGCTACTGACACTGACAATGGTTTAGAAGACCCCAAACTAACTGGCAAGCTCTGAGTAGCTGAAGGTGCAAATCCAAGTTTGTGTGGTGATTCAGAATGTGGTGGCAAGTTTTGTACATTAACAGATACTGAACTTATCTGTTTCTGCAACTCTAAGTTTGGCACAATGTTGGAAGAGGATGAAAATGACAGACATAATGATGAACACACACTTGTTGGTGAAGATAACAGGCAAAGGGCATTTGATTCAACAGTTGAAGTAGACAGATTAGAGAATGCAGAGAGAGAATCCGTCAATGCCAAAGTCAATTTTGGTAAAGATGATGATGATCTAATTGTGGAGTCAGAAGTGACTGGTGTTGATACACAAGAAAACTGACCTGGCCGTGTGTAAACAGCAGTGGTCTGTCCTTTATTGAAAGCACTTCTGTAACCTTTAAAAGTTTTTTTCTGAGAAACATATGCAAAAGGATTACTTGAAAAAATGGGAAGAGAAGTTACTGACAGTGACAATGGTTTGGAAGACCTTACACTAACTGGCAAGCTCTGAGTAACTGAAGGTGCAAATCCATGTTTATGTGGTGACTGAGGATGTGGTGACTGAGGATGTGGTGACGAGTTTTTCTGCAACTCTGGGGTTGGCAGAATGTTTGAAGAGGATGAACAAAATGACAGATATGATGATGAACACACAATTGTTGGAGATATCAGGCAAGCTGCATTTGATTCAACAGTTGAAGTAGAGAGATTCGAGAATGCAGAGAGAGAATCTATTAATGAGGCTGACTGATGGTGTGATGTATCCAATGACCTGGTCTCGTAGTATGACCTTTCTTGTGAACTAGAAGGTAATGGCATTGTGAAAGATAAAATTGCTGGTCTTGATTCATGGGATGATGATAGAAAGGGAGTTGTTATGGGCTCTGAGAATCCTGGGGTACAACAAACACTGGAAAATGAAGCTGGTGTCACAGATGGAAGAAGTTGGGGACTGTCTCTATTATATACAGCTGTTGTCTGGTCCTTATTCAAGACACTCCTATAAGCTTTCAACCTATTAGAAGCATTTGTTATAGAACTATTTTTGCCTTTCCCACAAGGGATTATGCACCGAGATGAAATGATGTTTCTATTCACACTGCTAGATTCTCGATCTTCACATATATTAGTGTCAGTTGCATGCTGACATGGTTTACTGGTTAATGAATCACACTGCTCTAATATCACTGATCCTGATGATGAGGATGGTATTAAATATGGAAATGAGGGAGGGGATGAATAAAGAATGGAGGTTGAATCTGGTGTTGCCAAACTGGAAAAGGTATCAGTTAAAACTGGGATGGAAGAATATATGGTGTGAGGTGATGTGTTGTTTGTCACATGATGAGTAGGTAAGAGGACATTAGGATTTTTATATGTAGCTGTCGTGTATCCTCTGTTAAAAGCACTCCTGTATTTTGGAGCTCTGGTTACCGATAATTCTAATACATCTCTTTCAGCTTTTTGTGAAAACGTTGCTGAAGGCTTAACATTGGGAACAGATAATAATGATGATGAATGGGAGAGAAGTAAAGGATCATGTACAGAAACATGTATTCTCTCTACCTCAGTTTTATATTCTGAGCTCTTTAACTCGTTCCCATCAGTGCTTACCATAGGGTCATCCTGTAATGTTGACAGGGACATGGGAATGCCCTCTTCATAGTGAAGGAGAGGCAACATGTCTGTGGCAAATTCCAATGAATCCAAAGAAAGAGAGGAGGAGGAAGAAGAATCAGCTGAAGTAGCTGGTATTACAGGCTCTTGGACTAAAGAAAGGGGGGGACGGTTTTCAAAAGTGGGAATCATGCCAGGCACAACATCTGGTATTATACAAGGACTAACTAGTGGGGAGGCTGCCATATGTGTGGTTGTTCCAAGAGTTGTCAGAATGGAAGAAGATACTGAGTTCTGTGTATCTGATATATAAGTTGAGAACAAAGTTGCAACATTAGCATCAGATGATGATAACGGTTCTGAACCATATAAATGTGAGGAAGGATCTGGAACAACAGATGACCAATTTCCTTGAGCTGGAACAGTGTGTGACAGGCTCAAGGAGGTCAAAGCAATCTGTTGCAAATCAGATGAGGTTGTAATAGTCATTGGTGTATTCAATGAGGTTTGTGCAATGGATGATGCTTTCAAAGGACTTAAGGAAATTGGTGATGCATTTTCTGAAACAGATAAGGAGACTGATGAAAGTGCTTTTGTGTCTAAAGGAATAATTGGTGAACTTACGACAATTGGCTTTACATTCAATGAAGTAGAAACAACTGGTGAAAAGACTGATGAAGTTTTGGGAATTGATCCTAGAACAATTGGTGGAGGCTTTTCTAAAATCAAAGAAACTGGTGGAGAGACTGATAAAGCTGAACTTGATGCAGTTGGAACAATGTGTGTTGAGTGTTCAGGAACTGGAACTGGTGAGATTACTGATATCTGAAGACCAAGTGATGAGACTGACTGAGTTGGAACACAATGTGACTCTTTTAATGAGGTTAGAATAACTGATGACATTTCTGATGCTGGAACACCCAAGGACAAAAGTGGGGAATCTGGAACAATGGAGTCTCTTCCTGAGGTTGACAATGGAATGACTAATGGTGCACCTTGAGATAAAGAAGTGTTCATCACTGTATCCTTTGCTGTAGAGTTCCATAATATAGAGACATGTGGTGCTAAGCTGACTAATGCTGAATCAGTGTGTGGTAATATGACGTTACATATTGAATCTGATGAGGTTGAGCTATCTAGTGGATGCAAGGAAATATTTTGGACACTTGACTTCATAGATAAGGAGGTTTGGATGTCCAGTGTTGAATTTAGTGAGCTTGAGATGCCTAGTTCTGATGATATAGAGGTTGAAGGAACTGCCACTGACATGAATGAGGTTGGAACAACTGAAGAGGTTGACTGAGTTGTAGCAGATGGTGTTGTATTAGCAAAGTCTGTATTAACTGCTGAAGAGAGCAGACAAACTGGAACACTGTGAGAGGAGTTTCCTGAAGCTGGAACAGTTTCTGGGTTTGAGAGAGATATTGGATCTACCAATGAAGAAATAGCAGCTGGAGCATCTACCACTGATCTGATTGACTTTTGCATTAGTGAAGGGGAGTTCAGCTGAGGTGAATCATATTTTGATGATGTAGATAATGGAATTGAGATTACAGAAGAATTCTGTGAGACTAACACATTTGCTGAAGGAAATGAAGTCAAAACTTCATTTGGCTGTGAGGTTAGCATATTTAGGGAATTTGATTGGGAAGATAATAAAGTTTGCATAGTAGACAATGAGTTAAAAGAGTGATTCTCATGTGAGGATAAGATGTCTGTATTTAGTTTACTACAGGTATCTGAATGACTTGGTAAAATAGAGGCACACTCCACAGCGACTGAAAAAGGGGATGGGTGTAAATCCGACAAGGAGTGTGAAGAGGATGGAACTAAGACGTCAGGGGTTGAAGAACATGAGTTCTCTGGTGACTTTTTGTCAGATTCATTCAACAAGGGTAGGATGGCACTGATCAAGAGCTGTGGTGTGGTGACACGTGTTGGGATACTCTGCACAGAGGATGATAATGGTGATGACAACAATAATGGTACTCGACTCTCTGTTGCCATGAATACAGGAGCGAGAGAGACATGTGGTGAAGACAAGTTGGCATTCGGAATTGGGATTGGTGCTGAAGTGACTTTTGGGGGTTGAAGTGAGGGAACACAAAGCAAGGGGGACGAGGGCTTCACACACGTAAAAGCAGAGTCCTGGGACTGATCATAAGACACACTGTCAGAGGAATGGTTAGCAGATGCAGTTAAATGACTGGATACAGGGTTCTCTTCTGGGGACACAGGACTGCTGCAAGCTAAAGGTGGGGTCACATCGCCAAACACTCTCTGAAAAGTCACAAAGTCTGACTTGGAAGTCATCATCAGTGACCAAGTGCCTGGAGTGGGGCAAAAGGGAGAGGTTGGGGTGGAGGTAGAGGAAGTGGAGGGGAGGGGAGAGGTAATGATAGTAGTGTTCTGGGCTGGACTGGTAATACCTAACACTCCCTGGGAAAGGACACGAGTAGGAAACAGGACACGATGGGACAGGACACCTACAGTGATGGTCTCTACAGTGCGGGTTCGGGAAGTGATGGCCTGAGAGCTGATCACCTCGGCATTCTCCTCGTCAATAAGCTCTCCTCCCAGCACAGACACCTGGCGGAAATCAAAGCCACACACTTGAGGGCTCGGTCTGTAGATGGCGCACATGGCAAACTTGTATGACAATGGGTATAAAAAAAAAAAAAAAAAAAAAAAAAAAAAAAAAAAAGAGGAAAAATGGTAATGACATATCACGAGTGAGTAGTTGTGAATGAGTGAGAGCAAAACTAGTAGCACTACCAGCCTACTGACACATGGAGACTATTAATATCTAAACAATAAAAATAATCACAAAATTCAGTCACTGATATCAACTCTTACTGTGTAATGTTGAAAAAGAATGGAAGACAAGAAGATTTGGGGAAGGAGGAGAAGAATGAAGAGGAGGGGAGGGGGGAAAAATAGAGAAAAATGAAACCTGACAATTGTTTTTCTATGTGATGTAATTTACTATTGTATATAGATTAAAATCTACCAATTTTCAGGATCAAAGAGAGAACAATGATTAAAATGATGATAGTTCATAATCACTATTATGGTGACTTTAATGAAAACTAAAATCATAACGACAGAGATAATAATATCACTAATAATAAAATTAATAACAATAAGTGATAGGTACTTAAAGTAAAAGAAATAGAAGTAACAGCATCATTAACATCAAGAGTAGTAGTAGTAGTAGTAGTAGTAGTAGTGATAATAAAAAATAAAATAAAATAAATAAATTAGATAGATAACAATGATAACACTATCAATAAAAATGAAAATATAAGTAACAATAACAATAATAATAATAATAATAATAATAATAATAATAATAATAATAATAATAATAATAATAATAACAATAAAATAATAAATAATAATAACAAAAATAAAATAAATAATATGACAATGATATTCAATATATAAAAATCAAATAAATATAATAACCTAACAATATATATACACAGGAAATGTCTTTCTAGCTGTGCTCCTTGACATGGTTTGCGATTGACTAGTATAGCAGTATCCTATATGGAAGCACACTACAGCCAATACGGGGCTTTCCCTTATCTGTTTTTTTTCTAATTAAAAAACTTGAAGTTACAAAGCAAGTAGACAATTGCCATGCTATCACAGCAATAATACAACTCCAATGGTATTTCATATAAAAAGAAAAGCAAGAATCAAGACTATCCCTTAAGTTGCCAAAGACCTCCAAAGCACAGCTAACTAGAATTGATACATAAATTTTCTACAATTTAACTTTCCAAAGATATGTAATTAATATAGAAATCAAATATTTTTACCAACAGTTCCATTTCTCCTCAGACAATTTTAATTTCTTCTTAGAGAATTAACTGCCAAAGAATTAAAAAAAAAAGATAATAACTAAATAAATGGATACAATAACACATCCCCATTACTTGTGGCAGGATGTTGCCAGCTATTGCTTACATATAACTAAACTTAACCAACATCTGGAATACTGACATTCTTTATTGTTTTCTGGAGCATTTTCAAAATCAGCAATAGCATCAATTTCAACTGTACCAGAATTTTTTTTTTGTAATGACAAATGTGGATTATATTACATTTTAATCCGCAGAAAAAATATCAATCCAGGTCAGATAAAATTCACTGTAACATCAAGTCCCTTTTACAAAAAAATACATAAAACAATATTGAATAGACTGTAGAAACGCATTCTGCTCAATTTCAAGGGATCCATGATTTTTATATGTTTAACATCATGACCGTAACTAAAATGAACTCAAAACTATGCCAATTTGCCAATCATAAAACCAAAACATTTCAAAGATAATCCCACTATAACTATAATAAAATACTGATGATCAAAATGATAAGGGTATCAACCAAAATGAATTATGAATTATGAATTAATAACATAACAATAATAATAACAAAAATAATAATAATAATTTCATTAATAATATTAATAGTAATAATTATAATGATAATAGTAACAATAACAATAATAATAATAATAATAATAATAATAATAATAATAATAACAAAATATCAATAATAATAATAATAACAAAATGTCAATAATAATAAGGTTAATCAGAGACAAAAAAGACAAAGGAGAAGAAGGATAAAACTAAACAAATATGACATACTGATGCTGCTCTGCATGATAATAACTGTAACACTACCAATATAGTAATATACACGAAACAGCAATAATGTTATCATAATCAATAACTGTATAAGATAAAATGTATGCACAAATCTTTGAAAGGATAAATGAACATGATGTGAAAGTGAATCTTGTCAAAACAGGACCTTTTTGCAATATCAAATAGGTAAATTAGTATATGATTTTGTAAAAGACAATATCAACAAAAACATAACTTCACACTAACCAAATAACAGAAAATAAAAAGAAATTATATATAAAAAAAAAGTAAAGAGGCTGCAATACTTTTCTTTTTTTTACAAATGAAGCAATTTTTTTCTTTGTTTTTTATATTTAAGGAGATGCTCATGCAATCTTTAATCCATGCATACAAAACCAAAAATAAAGGTAAATAATAATAATAATTAAACTAATAAATACCACAAGACACTGATATCTTCTTGGGTGCAATTCCCCGTCTTCAAAAGTATAAAATCTTTTTAAAGGATGCAAAGACACTTCTCATAATGCAGCCTCAAACAACATTACACAACAAACAATACCAAGCAAGGGAGAGAAAGAGAGTAAGAAAAAGATAAATGGTTGGTTGCTTGCATACTCAAGACTCTCAGTGCATCAAACTAGTGCAAATAAAAAATAAATGTAACAAAAAAGAAAAAAAATGTATATCCGAGAGCCAAACGAGCTGGAAATACTGTTCTCCCTCCACCAACCAACCTTGCGCAACTCCGTCTCTACAACAGGGGGGGTTTCCACGCTCATGGTGGAGGTGTCGACGCCACTAGCGTCAAACATCTGGGCCTCAGTCGGTACAATGCCATCCTGCGGAGAGAATTTTTTTTTCCTAATTCATTTCAAGGGCGGACCGAGGGGCCTCTGTACTCACCTGTTTCACCCCAGAGTCTGTCATTTTCAAGTTCTCATATCGGAAAATCTTGGCTGAACTCGCTTTTCTCATCTATTTTTTATTCATTTGTTTATCTATCTTTTTTAGTTTGTTTGTGATTAAGGAAGTGGGGAAAGAAGAGTTACCCTTTCAGGAATGTGAAAGTTTGAGAATTCTGATTTCCAGTTATTCTTTCCCTTAGATTCACATCATTCTTTTGTCCTTGTAATTGTTCAGTTCACTTCTCATGTCAACTAACTGTGCTTCATCAGTGATCCTTCAAAAATAATAATTTGGGATTTAATGTTTCCAACTAATACAAATAAATCAGGTCAAAGGTATAATGAGTTTTCCTAGGCTCTAGCTTTAAAAAGAAAAACAAACAAACTAATGACTTAAACCATGGCATTCCTGGTCTTAAATCATTTGAACATTATACCTAAAAATGTCTTTCTGATCACAAACAAGTGAAAACACTTTGCTTATTGTGGGACAGTCTAAACTAAATTCATCAAACCAAATAAAAAAACTAAATTATGATGACTTCCTAACAACACTGTTAATATAAAGAATAAATGATCAACAAAAGGGGGGAAGCACAGAGCATTAAAGAAAAGACTATTTTCAACTTTTCCTTTTCTGTCATTTTATTTGTCACAATCCTGGAGATCTCCTGACACAACAAAACCAAAATTTAAACAAAAACAAAAACAAAAGTGACCAAAACCAAAAAATAATCATAAAACTAAAAACTAACCTTGTTGACAAAATCATAATCAGAGTCCAAGGGATCGACTGAGGTGCCTGAATCGTCGCTTCCGCTGGAGAGGGTTCGGGCACGTGCATTGCCGCTAAAGTCTCCCGGGGGGTAGTAGGGGGTAGCAGCTTGGCCGCCCTGACCCTTCACGCCACGAGGAAGAATTCAGCAAGTTGGAGGGTTAATGCAAGGGTTATCACATGCAGAGCGGCAGGAATTAGGAATTTGAGCTCTTCTCTTTTTCTTTTCTTTCCTTGTCTTTTCCTTCATCATTGCCATCTTTTTTTCTAATTCACAAACCACTGAAGCTTAAGAAGCCTAGTATCATAGGTGGGAGGGAACAGGGGAAGGGAGGGGGCACTCTACTCCTTTAACTACATATGCTATCATCTTCTTAAGAGTAAATTGTAGAGGGTTAAAAGGGAATATAAACTCCTATATATATACAAAAAACAACAAAATTACATGCATTTTGAATTAGATACAAATTATACTGAGGGTAAAGTAATAATACTGAAAACATGATAATATTTTTGATAAACAAAAGGACAGAACAAGCATTAATCTAACTTCAAAACATACATGACAAATAAATATGGCAAAAATCTATCTAATATGGCAAGAGCTTTTCAAATGATGTTCTGGAGAGATAAGCTAAGCCAAATAGAGACATAAATAGCTCATTTCATTCATTGGGCATACACAAAAGCTTTTTTTTTTTTTTTAATCACAGAAGCTGTTACAAGGTTACAACATGAGCATCACATTTACTTGTTGACACAGATTGTAATGCACTTTGATGTAATGCTCTTTCCTCTTTTCTCATGCTACTTCTAGCAATGCATCATTCAATCCATCAATTTTCAAGCTCATCTACATGCAATTAAACTATGAAAAAAAAAAAAAGGGGGGGGAAATACCTATCCCATAAAACACACACATACACAAAAAAAAGAAGTTCAGAGAGAACTTAAGGAAAGATGTCTCTCTTGATCAATATACAAACACACACACACACATTACAGTCTACACCTGCCCTAATCCTGTTTTACTCAACCTCCCTTCCTCATCCATCCTTTCTCAAACCTCACCTGCTTGTCAATGGCTGCTGCATCCTGAGGGGCGATGGAGCGTGACTGTTTCTTCACCTCCTGCGTCACCACTGTCTGCTCCTGCGTCGTACCGGTCGTCATGGTGGTTGATGCGAAGGTCTTCTCTTGGACCTGGTGAGGAGATGGAAAGTTAAAAAGTTACTAGGTGTTATTCTTCTGGGATTTTTACTAATTGTGTGTGTTGTATAGACAGAGGAAGAAAGGGAGAGAAATGAGAAAAAATTGAAGAGGAGAGAAAAAAGGAGATACACAGGGAGTAATGGGGCAGTGGAAATGAGATGGGAGCAGACAATAGGAGGAAGGAAGTAGGAATGGAAATAGCAAAAGTAGGAAGGAAGTAGGAAAGATAGGAAGAAAGGAAGTAGAAAGTAGGAAAGGTAGGAAAGGTAGGAAGGACAGAAGGAAGTAGGAAAGATAGGAAGGAAGGACGTAGAAAAGGTAGGAAGGAAAGAAGGAAGGAGCAAGAGAGGAAAGGAAATAAGGAAAGGAAGGGAGGAAGGAGAGAGGGAGAGAGGGGAGAGAGGGAGAGAGGGAGAGAGTGAGACAGTGAGACAGAGAGAGAGAGAGAGAGAGAGAGAGAGAGAGAGAGAGAGAGAGAGAGAGAGAGAGAGAGAGAGAGAGAGAGAGAGAGAGAGAGAGAGAGAGAGAGAGAGAGAGAGAGAGTGAGAGAGTGAGAGAGTGAGAGAGAGTGAGAGAGTGAGAGTGAGAGAGTGAGAGTGAGAGTGAGTGAGTGAGTGAGTGAGTGAGTGAGAGTGAGTGAGTGAGTGAGTGAGTGAGTGTGAGTGAGTGAGTGAGTGAGTGTGAGTGAGTGAGTGAGTGAGTGAGTGAGTGTGTATGCATATTGCATTGTGCTGTATTTTGGTACATGAGAAAATGTGAGTATTAAAAAGAATATAAGTATAGTTAAGAGTATACCTGAATGTGTAATTGTGAGTGTAAATGTGACTGAGTGCAGAAGCACACAAGTGCAAAGGGGACCGAAGCCTCCCTATCCCTTACAAAACACACCCTTCACAACTCCATCCCCTCTCCCTGGCCTGCCCCCCTCCTGCCCTCCCTCCATCCCAAGCACTTTCTCCTCCTTCCCGTACTCGAGAACATACCTGCTGCGTCCGTTCCTTGGTGCTCTTGTCCTCCATGCTCTGGGCCGTGATGGTGGTAACAGTTGTAGCTACAACATGAGGCTTCTCTCCCTCACCTTCAGCATGCTCAGCCTGCAGCAAACCCACCAAGTCAAAAAGGCTATGTACATGCATCATTCAGCCAAACAAATGGGTTTGGGTTTAATCTTTTTTTTTTTCAGCGCTAAGATGCAGTGCTGAGGAGAAATAGCTTACATAATAAACCGTATTGAAACTGAGGCATTGAAGCGAGTGACTACACCTCTCTGAAGGTGTATTTATTCTCTTTTTATATACATATCTCAAGCTGATTTATTCAAGGCAACTTAAAATTAAGATAAACAAAAAGAGACGATAATATTTATGTCAAGATTCAATATCATATATCAAAGATTTATGAAATACTCAAAAATATTCATAAAAAGCCACATGCTTTGGGATTTGCTCTAAATCTGGGAACATGCTCACTAGCAAGGGATTCAGCACTAAAAAGGATGCATGACAACAATCAAATGTCTAAAACAAAACAAAATGAAAGAAAATTGACATTCATCACAATCCCATGATGCGATACAAATTAAGTTTCGCCTCTTGTGAGATGGGGAGAGATAGAGCGAGAGATAAACAAAAAAATGCAAGTGGATTCCCACCTTTTGGCTCTGGGTGTTCAACTCAACCTCTCCTGTCCCCAGGTCTTCGACTCTCTGGACAATGTCCTCTGAGACCCCCTCCGCATCCTGCACGAAGGTCTTCTTGGTGGTGGTCTTGACAATTTTGGGTGCAGTGGAGGAGGCTGAGGTCAGCTCTCCTCCTGCGCCCTCCAGGGTGGCCTGCGCAGAGGGGTCCACCATCAGCTCCGAGGCCGAGTGGTCAGCCGTGAAGGAGGGCTCACTCGTTGCTGCAGGGTTCACGATCAGGGATGTGTTTGAATGGTCTGCTGCATACGATCGGTCTGAGGCCACCATGGATGAATCAATGTCCTTAGGCTCGGTACCCTCACGGTTCTCCACCACCACACTCTCATCTGAGCTATCGTCTGAACTGTCACTTGAGCTGTCACTGCTACTGCTGCTGCTGCTGGTTGAAGCCTTGCGGTCCCTACCTCCAAAGATTCCAAATCGTCCCTTCTTCTTCCCCTTCTCTTTCTTGTCCTTCTCCTGTTTGGCTGCAGCCTTCTTGTCCTTGTCCTTGTCCTTGTCTTTACCTTTGTCTTTAGATTTCTCTTTGTCTTTACCCTTATCTTTATCCTTCTTATCTTTTCCCTTTTTGTCTTTCTTGTCCTTGTCCTTGTCCTTTTTGCCCTTCTTGCCTGCAAGGAACCCAGCCATAATGCCAGTGGAATCTGCTGAAGTGTTCAACATGCTCTCATCAACTGAGGTCTCTGGCAATGTTGTGTCTGGGGATGATAAACCCCTATCATCTTCCATGGCACCAGAACCAGGACTCTGATCCAACTGGCTTGTTTTACGTTTCTCAGCTGTCTCAGCTACCTTAGAGTCCTCTCCTGGTGCATAGTTGAAGGCCTGAGCCTGCCCTCGCCGCTTCTCCACCACCATTGGGTCATTGGCATCACCTTGGCCCTCCGCAGCCCCGCCCTCATACTTGAAACCATGGCCAGTAGGACTGTAGGGCCTCCTTGGTTCTGTCTCTAGCTCCTCATACGAGTACTGCCGTGTAAAGGGGGGGGAGCCAGGAGAACCAGCAGCCTCAGTTGCACTCGGGTTCTGGAAGACTGTACGGTGTGTCTTGACAAGGGGGTCAGCCGAACTCGAGTCCCCTGGTCCCTGTCCTCCTTCTCCATCCTCTTCCTTTCCACGATCAGATTTCCGGCCTTCCATGGTCTTGTAGCCAGGCGGGGGGGTGGTCGAGGGGGGAGCACCGCTCTACGCGGGACGGAACAGAGACATGCAAACACTTGTGGTGTTGAGGGGGATTAAACACAAACACAGATACTAACATTCAAACAAACAAAAAAATAAGTCTAGCATTTACGTTCATCATAACAGCAAATGGCTTGGATAAAAATCTAAAAAAATCAATAAACAATTATATAAACTAAAACATTAAACTAGCACAAAACTCCATGTTTAGGAAGCATGCTGCAGACATAAAATATACTAAAATAATATAATAATATATATTCTTTTAAGTTGGGCAAGTCAGTAGCCCGTTCAGCTGCTTTAATGCCAAAATCACATGTCACAGTTGATGACTATTTGGCTACTAATACTCTGGTTGTCAGGTTGCTACTCCATGCTTTTGAATGCATGCTTTCTTTATCTTTAACTAAATCTAACCAAACCAATAGTGTAGGGTCAAAAATAACTCCTAACATGCCAATTAGCTTTAAAAATTAAAAAAACAATCTAGAAATTTAATATCCTATTTACAAACTACAGTGGACAATATGCTTGTAGCACACAAAAAGATTAAAATACTTAGCCTTGCCTTTCCTTATGTGGTAACTACATATATCTGTTTGATCTCTTTTCTCTTCTTTTTAAATCCATTGACTTCTTTAAATTCCATTTTATTTCTTTCACATTGTCAACTCCTTGTGATACCAAATCAGGTTATTCCTACAATATATCACAGTAGGCATAAAAAACAAATGAATGTGTAAAAAGGGACTATGGGAAAAAAAAAAAAATCTACTATGTCCTAAATTTAATCAACCAACAAAAATTAAACACAAATTTTGAAATGAAATGAAAGTAACTACTCTTGCATAACCTCACTAAAGGAGACTTGACAATGGTGACTGTGCCATGACACAGCACAAAGCTACCTCAGAGGATCTCATGCCCTACACACAATAACATTCCACGAGTTGCCTTTTGCTCTCACCCAATGCTGTCCAAACTTACTTTCTTCGCTGCCTCCTCCTCAGCCTGCGCCAGCTTCTCGGCACGCTTCTTAGTGGCCTTCATCAGGTCTGCCATTGGCAGCACTGCTACACCTCCCACAGGTTTCTGTTGGTCAGTAGAATGCATTAGGGAAAAAGACAGAAAACAGTTTCTTGAATTATAGTTATAATCTTTCATTTTCAATCATCTAAATGGGTTTCAGAAAAATAAAACATACGGGGTACCTAAAAAAAAAAAAAAAAAAAAAAAAAAAAAGTCCAGTTGCACTAGGTAAAACAAAAGCTTAAAAAACCTATTTCAAGGTAAACAATTCTATTTGCACAAGATTAGCTTTTATTTTTGTGAAGGATTCTGAATATTAGATTACTCATAATTACTCAATCCAAATTTATCTAGGTAATATGTTTTTGCAGCAATAGTCTTTTTAAGAAAACTTATTTTTTTTGTGTGACTTGTGCTTATTTCATTTTCATAAGTGCCTCTCGATTTACAGGTACAAATTCCACACAGAAAAAAAATGTAGCTATTGATCCAAAATGTTGCTTTGAATTTCTGATCAGCATTAAAATAGTACTACGGCTTACGACATGCATCAGTTACTACATACTATAAGCTCTTTCTCTGGTGATCTTTCTTTGTTACTTTTCTATCTTGCTCACACTTACAGTTAATAATAACTTGCTTCATATTTTGAATCAATCTTATATATATTGTGTCTAAAAAGATATGAGACTATTATCATTACTTATTCCATTCACTACTACTTCTACCACTGCTACTACTACTACTACTACTCATTAACACAATAACAATAACAATTATAATAATGATAATAATAACTGCAACAATAAAAACAATAATAATGATAATACTTTTTTTTTTCTTTTTCTTTTTTTTCCTTTTTTTTATACGAACACATAATCAGTATGTCAAGAGAGAATTTATTCCTACCTACCAAAGGAGGAGCTTTAAGATTTAGGAAGATCATTGGAATTTCTTGGGACGAATGGGATATTACATTTCTTACATCAGCTATAGCACACAGTTTATATTTCATTGAAAAAAAAATGAATAAATAAAAAATGAATAAATAATAATAACAGGGGAAACATTACTGAAAAATTTCCTTGTCATGCATGTCACGTAAAGATGTCAAATTCCATGATCAATAGG